ATCAACACAAATCAACATAAAAACAGATTGAAGATTAAACAGACTTAACACAAATGAAATAGCACCTTACACCTATTGGTAGTTATTATAATTAACAATAATAACAAACCAACTAAAGAAAATTAGTATTAGTAAGTGATGGGGAAATCCCTGAACTCTTGAGCCCTCTAAGTGGGAATGAAAGTTGTAGCTACTATGTAAAACAATATGAAGATTCTAATTATCAGAAACAAAATTATCATTTGATCCAGCAATCCTCCTTTGGGGTGTATAGCCAAACGAATTGAAATCAGGATCTCAAAGAAATATTCAGATCCTCCTGTCTATTATATACCTATATGCAAAGGTGAAGTTACGGAAATAGCATGAATGTCCGTCAACAGTTAGGTGCATAAAGAAAATGTGGCATATACATACAATGGAATACTCTTCAATCATTTTAAAGAGAAAATCCGTATATGTGAGTCTAGATAGGAGTGAGTCTAGAAAGTGTTGTATTTAGTGAAATAATCCAGGGACAGAAGAAAACTATGGTGTGAATCTAGTTATAAGAAGTATTGAAAATAACCAAAATTAAAGAAACAGAGTATAGGACGGTAGTTTTGGGGGGTTGAGGAAGAGGAAAATGAGTTTCTATTTAATGAGTACAAAGCATAAGTTTTTCAAGATGAACAAGTCCTTGAGATTTGCTGTACAATGATGGGCCCAAAGTTAACAATAATGTATTGTGCATTTAAAAATTTGCTAAATTTTAATTTAAATCTCAAGTATTCTTATTATAAGTAAAACAAAAATAGGTTAAAGTGACAGGATAGATTGAAAAACTCCCTATGTTGTATGAGCTCCACAAAGAATAGAGAGAACATGGGGGAAATAAGTGCTCAAATAGAAATTAGGTGAGAATTTATCAAATAAAGAACTGGCTCAGTTCTCTGTTTGAAGGACCACACAAATTTCTGAGGGAATATATTTAAAAAATTCTCTATTGGATCACATTTTCATAAAAGCAGAAAAACAGGAACAAGGAAAAAATTTTGAGAAGGTGGACAGTGAAAATACAAAATAATAATCATTGGCCTCATATCATTGTTCTTGTCATAAGACATGGAAGTCTGCAGCCAGCACAAAGGCTGTGGGGAAATAAGTGCTAATCCACATTCCTAAACCCTGAGCCACTGCTATTGGAGCATAAGGGGAAAATTGAACCCTTTGAGATATACAAAACTCAAAAGTTTGCAAGCCACAGGTACAGAAGTACAGTGGAGGTTTCCAGCAGAGGAGAGAGATACAATTTATCTGATTGGGGAATTTGAAAGAAGAATGAGCATGGATATGTTTTCTTCTTCAACTTTTCTCCTTTGATTTGATCTTGCTTATCTGAGACAAGGGTCTCTTGTGTCCCGTATTACTCTAGGTTCCAAGGTTAATGGTAGAGGATCTGCCTGTTTAAAGAAGAGACTCATAGTCTTGGGATCTGTGTTAGAGTAGGTTCCCCCATATCAGACCCAAATCAGTAATTTGAAACCATGTACTTTATTTAGGAGTTAATAGCAGGGAACACTCATAAGGCAGAAGGACAGGGAGTAACAGGAGGGAAGGACATTGCCATGATTAACCTGGATGGCCAACTTGATTGGACTAAGAGATGCTGAAGATTAAGAGATTCCTGGGTCCCATGATGAAGGGGTGAAGGTGTTTCCAGAACTGATTGTCATATGGGGCAGCCAAGTGATAGGAGAGACCCACCCTGAATGTGGGTGGCACACAGTGGGGGCCTGGAGGGAACAAAGGGTGGAAGAAGGAAGATACCGACAGACGCAAACTTGATTCTTCCTGAGTGGGTGCTGGGATTGCTGCTGCCATCCGCTGAGGACATCAGACACGAGCTCCTTCACTCCTTCCACGCAGACTCTGATGAGCTTTTCCCTAGGGAGCTCCCAAGCCTTCAGTGTAGAACTGGGAGACATCATTTGTCCTGCTTCCGAGGCTCCACCTCTTGCACTGAGTAACTACTAGCCCCCCCCAGCACTGCAGGTTGCATGTGGCCATTGTGGGATTCCCTGGCTATCCAGCTTCTGACTGCGAAGCCAACCTAATAAATCTCCTTTCTTTGATAATACTATATGCATCCTGTGGATTCTGTTCCTCTAGAGAACCCTGACTAATACAGACACAAATTCAGGATTTCATTAGTGAGCAGATAATAAATGTGAGCAATGGAGGAAAATCATACCTGGAACCGTGGAGCCACGAGAAGACTCTAAAAGACGTGGCTCAGGGTTATACTACCTGAAAGTTGTGGAATCTGGGGTATTCATTGCTCTACTCCCATTTGGTGGCTGCCACTAAGGAAATTAAACATTCTGCAAATGAGCTGGGCAGACTCTTACAGCAAAATTATCCCTCATTCTAAAGATGCAGACTCTTTGTCCTAATAAGCTTTGGCCAGCACAGGGACAATGAGTTCCAAGGGGATACAGATAGAGCAACACTGTCTGCTACTGCAGGGTAATTCAGGGAATAAAAAAGGCTACATGCCTACAGATCCAAACAAAATAGTAAGCTACATTTTTTGGTTTGAAGACTACTTTTTATCTCTGTGACCCTGAGATCATATTTGTCAGTTGATCTCAAGAAAAAAAAACAGAGATACAATAGATTCATCAGCTAAAAACTTCAGTAGCCATCATTGAGTTATGAAAACTAAATAGAAATGGTGAAAAGAAAATGAATTAAAAATGACAGATTAAAAAAAATAAGGTTTTAGAAGTATTTTATGAATATCAATAGCCACAATAATTTTAAATCAGTTAAATTTATTGTTCACATATGTAAGTAACACCTTAAAAAATGGAGGAGTGGGGATGGGGTGGGAAGAAATGATACCAAGTATCAAAAACATTTCTGTGCTACTAAGCACCTCAAACTACATTTCTGTGCACTGTTCACTTGCTTCTTCACTGGGTAAATGGAGTGGAGAGGAATGATTACCCTCAAAGGGAGTCTGTTCCCTGGAGGGCACCAAGGAGTATGGTTTTCTCCTGATTTCTATATATGGAGCTCTGGAGTCTCTCCATGACTCCATCATGACATAGTTCGATCATGACATTACTTTCAAAGGGACCAGAGTCTGAGCAGAGCCTCCTTGTCACACCTTATTTTGATGGATGGCAGTGTTCCTTCAAATGAAGTGTTTTCAGTGAGTCTGCCAACATAGCTAGTCGAATACCCCAGATAAACTTCACATGGATTCATGTTGAGAGGATCAACACTTAGTAAGGTTTTTTGTTTGTTTGTTTGGTTTTGATTTTACCAGATATACCCTCATCTCCTCTTTACAGGGACTATTCTGGGAAATATGCAGGAAGGATAATTTTATTATTTATATTTCACAAATGAGGAAATTGAGCCTGGCCACAGGTCAATAACTCTTCCAATTACACAGAAAAATGTATGGTAGACGCAAGACTTAACGCCAGGCATCTTCTCTGTGTTAATGATATTACCTCCATTTCTTCATGCCCCAGGAAACTTGAGACATTTGAGTAATACTTAGGAAAGAGTTTATCCAAAATTGTTCATACATTCTTTCAAGGTTGAATTTTTGGTACCAGACTCATAATTCAGGATCATCTTTTCCTTCTTTTCAAGGAGCAAGGTAAGCTTCTGTAGTCAAGAAACAACTTAGTGAAAAATGTAATGGATGCAGAAGCAATGAATGGTTCAGCTACATTTTCTAAGAGTTTTAGAGCTCTGGTATGGTTGTTTGAACTTTTTTCCCTGAATTATTAAAATGATTCTAGAATATAAATACAAAAGTTCTTAAGCCATCAGAGTATACCAGGATATTTATGAGATGGTGTGCTGCTTTCCTGAAAAGAATGAGCAAAATCCTGGGACAGATGATGCTCCGAATGAGTACATGGCAATTCATCCGGTTTCTGTGTTTGGACCTGTTGTTAAAGGGATAGCTCACCAAAACAGAGTGAAATGGCATTTATTCAAACTCTAGAATGCTCATCCTGAAATTACCAAGATCCTTACTCTGTTTTCAATTTAATTTCTTCATAATCTCACCTTTTCATTACTTTCTCATTTAGAAATACTGATAATGCAATGATAAAAGGCACAGATCCCGAGATCCTGAGTAGATCTCATGCTGGATGTAGCACAGGAGGAAGGCACATAGCTTCTTGAATTCTTCATTTTTTTTTAACTGAAAATGAGATTGTGTATTTGTATGTGAGTGTGAGAGTGTGTGTGTGTGTGTGTGTGTGTAGATATACACTGTATATCTACCTCTACTGTATCTTTCCGGGACACTCCCTCTTTTTTTTTTTCCTATTTCTAAGACCAACTGGCAAGTAAGCACTAAATTTGAGCTGTTTCTAACCCAGGGGATTGTGATGGGGGAGATAAATTAATGGTAGAGAGGTGATCTTTACAAGTTAATACCTCTTTATGCACTACTATTTATGGACATACAAAAAATGAGGAATCAGATAGTCTGGGAAGACTTCTCAACTTCCATCATCTCTAACACTATACACAATGTACCTGCCACATACTTTGAGCTGCCTTACATGGCAGACATTCCAGTACATGCATGATTAGGTTAAGGACATTGAGATGGTGAGAATATCTTGGATTACCTGAACGGGGCCAGGGAGAACACTGATCCTCATAAAACAGAGTCGGTGCTAAAGAAATCGAAGCAACAAGCACTGTACTTTACATTATGTGGGTGAGGTATTTGCAGACTCACCTGATTTAAGGTCAGACACGTGAAACATGAAGGAGCCAGGAGGAAGACAGCAGAAAATAGTGGTTATCAGAGAACAGGTGTCCTTTCAAATTCTTCAGATTCAAAGAAATATATTTAAAACACTGTGCTTGCAAATAAACAGATTTGCAAACTAGAGTTAGTTTCCGGATTCATGAACTTTCAACTCTAAATACCAGTGATAACAGGTACATGTTGGCAGTAAAAACAGTAAGAAAGCATCTAAGATAGAATGGAGTCCTTGAACACAAGCTAAATGTGGATTTCAAGGGAGCAATCAACTCAAGACGACTTAAGACCCCAGGCTGCTCATCAGGAATGACTTACACAGTCCCTCACATGAGAGAGGCAGAACTGATGAAGAAAGACTGCAAGATCCTGAAGATCTGAGAAGACATGTGGGGAAGGTCAACCCAGGAGCAAGGCTACTGTTTTCAAAACTCACACACACCTTGAATCCTTGGGTGCTCTTTCTTCCCTCATCCCTCCAAACTAGCATAGAGATCTCCTCCTGTTCTAACCATGACATCGTCACTGTCACTTGTCAGGTTTTTTATTAACACCACATTGGGCTGCGTTTCCTTCACTATCTCACTCAACTCTCACGATAATCCCTGAGGTAGCTCCAATGGCATCTTTGTTTAGGGATGGATAAAATGAGATTCACTGATATTAGGTGAAGACCTACGTCTCTCAAGGGGTGAATGGAAGGACTGATAAGGGAATATTAAAACATCTAACACTATACCTTCTCTTCAGAATTGCTCTTGTCGGTTGCAACTTCTAATGATGCATTTCTCCCTCTGAACCTACTATGCATACATTCGTGAATTACACTTCACACAACTTAAAGCACTGGGCTTTGTACAATGGATATAATGATGATTTGTAAATGGAATGAATGTAAAATAAATTCAAATTCATAAATATCATTTAGGGTGAAAATCACTGATAAATTGCCTAGAGTTTTGTTCTGTCTGTGAATACCTTTATAAACTTACTTACTCAAACTCTTTGTTGCTTGATATATGGATGGACATACAATTAGTCAACTGTATGGTATTGAAGATAGGGTTAAATTGATATATACTTTTAAACACGCCTGACCTTAAAGCTCTTAGTAAACTCAAACATCTTATTGGGAAGGTGAATTCATTCCAGACTGGCGACCTTGGACAACTTATTATTTCCTACAATTCAGTTTACTCATATACTAAATTAAGAAGTTGTAAAGGTGATCCATGAAGGCGCTCCATATTCAACAGTGCATGGATAAAGTTAATCTGTGGAATCGTGTTGCCATACCAATGCTTTCAATCTGGAGAATGTTGAAGAGTCAATTATTACTATAGTATAATAATGCTTACTCATTTCAATTTCTGTGCAACTCTTTTTTTGTTCCTCACTGTGTTCCTTCACTTATCTTTATCATAGAGCATCTTGTGATTCTAAAACAACGGCTATGAAGAACATCACAGGAGTGAGTGAATTCATCCTGCTGGGAGTAACCAGTGCCCCAGAACTTCAGGTGCCTCTTTTTATGGTTTTCACACTTATCTACCTCATCACTCTGGTGGGGAACCTGGGGATGATCCTGCTGATCATGTTGGACTCCCGTCTCCACACCCCCATGTACTTTTTCCTCAGTAACCTATCTCTGGTGGACTTTGGTTCCTCCTCAACTGTCACTCCCAAGGTCATGGCTGGGCTCCTCACAGGAAACAAGATGATATCCTATAGTTCATGTGCTTCTCAGATGTTCTTTTTTGTATTCTTTGCCACAGTGGACAACTACCTCTTGGCTTCAATGGCCTATGACCGCTACGCAGCCGTGTGTAAGCCCTTACGTTACTCCACCATCATGACAAACACTGTGTGCTCTCGTCTGGCCATAGGATGCTACGTCTTTGGTTTTTTAAATGCTTCTTTGCAAACTGGAGACACGTTCTGCCTCTCTTTCTGTATGTCCAACGTGGTCCATCACTTCTTCTGTGAGATTCCCGCAGTCAGGATTCTAGCTTGCTCTAATAAACATATTGGTGAACTGGTTCTTGTTCTTATGTCAAGTTTTCATATCGTTTTTGCACTTCTTATCATCTTGATTTCCTACTTATACTTGTTTATCACCATTTTGAACATGCGCTCAGGTGAGGGGTACAAGAAGGCTTTGTCCACCTGTGCTGCTCACCTTATTGCAGTCTCCACATTTTATGGCACCATCATCATCATGTACTTAAAGCCAAGTTCCAGTCACTCCATGGACACTGACAAATTCACATCTGTGTTCTACACTATGGTCATCCCCATGCTGAACCCTGTGGTCTACAGCCTGAGGAACAAAGAAGTTAAGAATGCGTTTAAACAGGTTGCTCAGAAGGCAAAACGTGCTCTAGGTTAAACCCTTAATGATGTGTGTGTGTGTATATATACTTTGATCTATTTTTCCTTTGCTTTCCTATTCCTTGGGAATCTTGACCAAAAATATCCTTACCAATTCCAATGTCTGGAAGTGTTTCCTCCTTTGCATTTTTCCTGTAGTTCCAAAGTTTTGGATCTTACACAGAAGTCTTTAATCCTTTTGAGTTTATTTTTTTTTTAACTGGTGAGAGACAGGGGTCTAGCTTCATTCTGCATGTGGACATCTGATTTCCTCAGCACCATCTACTGAGAAGGCTCTCTGCTCTCCAGCGAGTACTCTTAGCACCTTAGTGGAAAATTAGTTGGCTGTAGATTTGGTGGCTTTTTTTTTTCCTGGAAACTAAGCAGGTCATGAATTATGGTTTATTTAAGGTTTATTGATTTAGAACATTCTGAGTTCTCTATTTGATTGTTTTATAAACTAGAAATAAAGCAAAACTTTTTTAAAAAATTTAAAACATAGCAATTTGATAAAGTAAACTTGTATAAACAAAAATTTTACTTTTAAATTCTTTCAGTATTTTATTAGTTCGTAAAAGTTATACATAAAATATTTACTTTTTCATCCCTATCTGATCATTCCAAAAATTCATCAATTATTTACAATTATCTTTATATAATGACAATGTAGCCATTTACATAAATTCAATGAGAATGCTTTTTCTCCTTGTTGTGGGTATAATTGAAGTCGTTGTCATACTTAAAAATGTACATAAGCTGGTTGTGGTGGCATACTGCTGTATTCCCAGAGGCTCAGAAGGCTAAGGCAGAAGGATTGTGAGTTCCAAGCTAACCTCAGCAACTTAGAAAGTCCCTAAAAAACTTAGTGAGACCCTGCTTCTACAAAAAAGGCTGTGGCTCAGTGGTTAAGCACCCTTGGGTTCAATCCCTAGTACCAAAACCAACCAACCAACCAACCAAACAAACAAAAAACCTTAAAATTCCTGGCTCCAAGTTTCCCTAGAGTTGATGAGTAAGTAAGACTGTTACTTCCTGGCAGGCTCAGGAATCTCAAGATACTAAGTACGACAGGTAAAAATATAAAGTCTGCCTTGGTTTGGCTTTCTAGCCTCAAGGTTTTTAAAAGTCCAATCTGATATTCCTTGTCCAAATTTCAACACAACAAATTAAAAAGACCCTGTGTTGTTTTTCTTGCTACACTCATCCAAATAATCAAACCATTTTTATTGATTCTGGATAGACAAAATGGACAAAAAAATTCAAGGATTCCTCCGAGGCCAGGTACTTGCAGACACTTGTCTATAGGTCTTTGGTTGGAATCTCCCAGGTACCTCTGGGAAAAGGGGTCACAGCTGTTGAGATTCCTGTGAGACTGATGCCAAATATTTGGTGCAGAAAGCATGCTGCACCCCACATTTATTGTCAGAGAGATTAAAAGGATGTTGACCAGGCCAGGGCTGGATTCTCCCCTGAGGTTTTCAGTGTGTACACCCAGTCACTGTTGGGGCCACTGCCAGCCTTTCTCATTGACAAGGCGAATTTTGGCAGTATGTGGGCTGCTCCAGGAAGGTATGTATATATCCAGTCCAGAGGTTTCCAGTCCAGGGTACCCAAGAGCATGGCTGACGTGCAATCCACAGAGTATCCCCAGAATGAGTTCTGTGCTGGAGGGGGAATCACTGGAAACACGGGATTTTCTAGGCTCAGTCTTGGTGCCTTCAGGCCTGGCCCTTGTGAGTTGCTTCCATGATGGTGACACATTTTGTCACAGTGGGCAGGATCAGGGCTGTACCTCCCCTCCCCTCTCCTCTGCCACAGCCATGTTCCCCACTGCATCATCCTCTTGGCAGGTTTGTTCAGACACTCCCTAAGTCACAGCCCTCCTGCACGGCCATCTCCCACCCAGTCAAGGCAGCAGGGACTTTCTGATCTCTGCGGAAGTTTGGTCCCTAATTGGCTTGAGCCAGGATGGAACTTGTGAATTGCTTTGCTCTTTTCTGTGTTGCCTTTCTGATTCTCTGTGCTGTTTAGGTTTTCCATCACTTTTCTTTATTGGTTCTCAGAGTTCTTCCTCTCTCTCCCTCTCTCACTTTTTTCAGAATATAAATTCTCTGTTAACCCAAGTCTTCTCTCTTGCAGTCACATGAAGGTGGTTCTATTCCACCATCTTCCACGAAATTGATAATTTGATGGAGATTGCTTCTGCATTTTATATTTTTATATAATATATAATATGCTATATTAATTTACTTATATGGTATACATCACAGAATAAAATAAGTTCAATAAATAAAATAATTAATTGCAGTACTAGACTATAAATTTTAAACTATTATTACCCTTTTTCTTTTTTTTACTTTTTATTTTTTTGTTAATTAAATTTATTTTTAACTGATACATAAGAACACAAAATTTTGTATGTTGATGGGATATCATGTGATGTTTCAATGAAAATATATATTACATAATGTTTATGTTGAATTATTGGATTAAACATATCTATTTCAAACATTTGTGGTTTCCTTATGATGAAAACATTCCATATCTATCTTTCTGGTTTCTTGAGTATATAACTGTTATCTATATTCACCCTACTGTGTAAACAGCACACAGAACTTTTTACTCTTTTTTTAAAAATTATTCTTTTTAGTTACATAAGACATTAGGATACATTTTGACATAATCACAAAAGCACGGAATATAATTTGCTCTAACCCAGTCCCCAGGGCTTCTCCTTTCTACCCTTCTCTTTCCTCCTGCCTCCCTACTTCTACTCTACAGATCTTTCTACAATTTACTGAAAGGGTTTTGTAAATTAGTGTCTTGTAGATATACCTGATGTGGGGATTCCTTGGGCCATATCCACGCATGCACCTACGAAAGTTCAGTCAGATTCATTCCACTCTTCTTCCCTTTTCCCGTCCCTCCTTCCTCCTCCTCAATCCCCTTTGTCTACTCTTCTGATCTTTTCTCTTACCTTTTTTTCCCCTTTAGTTGAGTAACTGTTCTAAGGGTCCTAATTTGAGATTTAAAACGTGGTAAGGTTTTAAGTGAAAGTATATGCTTTTATGGTCAACAATTTTTTTTTTTGAGATAAATAGAACTAAAACATTTTAAGTGAATTAATTTAAGAACTAGAGTTATTTTATAGAATCTACCTTTTCACATTTTACTTTACAAAAGGATAAAATAAGCCAGAGTATAGTAAATATGGAGGAAAAGCAACAGCATTTTAAAATCTATGTATATATGATTACCAGCATTCCCCCTTTGTTGATTAAGAACTGTCTCTGAAAGCAATGTGGGCCAACCATTCTGTGGTTAGGTTTCCTTTCTTTTCTTTTCCTTTAAAATAGCTTTTATTTTTTAAAAGTTAGTATGTGCATTACAGGAAAAAATAAAAACATAAGCAAAGAACAAAGTCATCTGGTCACAAGCAGCTTAGTTGGACGGGTCCCTCTAGGTTGTGCACATGCATACACAACACCCCATTTTGTGTGATTGAGATTGTAGTGTGTATCATGCTTTTCTACACATCATAAATATTCACCAATTCAGAATCCCAAAGCTACGTGAGTATTTTCGATAACCAAGAATACACTACACCAACTCAATCTGTTATCCTCTCTTGGGGACAAGCATTTCACTGAAGACAGAAATGGCAACAGGCCTCTAGATAGACATATTGGCAGAGTTACAACTAAAATAATGCATTCCCTTAATGCTCAATTTAAAATGAGACAAAGCAACAGAATGCACCAAGCTTGTTTCATTACCAGAGTTCTACTACTAAAATATTAGCAAGAAAGTATGTTCCCGGTGAATTAAAGTATTCCTACAGTGCAGCCAGAAGATACATATACACCAATGGCTTCCATCAAAATCTAAATCCTTGAGCCCTGGCTCCCATCTTACCCTGTGTGCTTTTCTGTATCAGCCTAATGTCCTGATACACACTGCCCAGAGATAAAGCAATTCTACGTCCAAGATGTGTGTTTTCTATCAATTGTAACAAAGAGATATTTATAAGTTGGCTAATTCACTAGCTCTACTTTTTGTTTCCCTGTCACCTGAGGACACCTATAAAGTTTAGATGTTTTGAAATAAAATGTGCACAATAAACACAAGCCTTTTACCAAAAATGCACATATAGATCTATGGTTATAGATCTAAAACTCTCTTCCAGATGTGGAGATATTAGCAAAAAGCGTTCCCCAAACCCTTACCCTTCTCCCTCTTCACCATTCCAGTGACTTAGTTCAGGCCTAGCGCCAAGAGGTAGATTAACAAAGGTCATTCCCAGAAGGCAGTTCTTCCTAAAAACTAACAGAAGAATATTCATAAAGGGACTATTTTGCTACTGCTAACAAACTTCGGGCATTAGGAATTATCCTTTAATACCCAGCAATATTAACTAATATGCACATAAACAAAGGCTAGACAATCTGAACTAATCTAAGGGGCACAAAATGCTTCTCTATGCATACTTTCTCCTTTCCCCATCCACCACCCAGTGAACCTTCAACTTACTCTCCAAGACATCAAGTTCAACAATCCCATTCCCCTAAATGGCAGGTGGTTAGATTTTTCCCTATGTGCAGGGCTGGGCCCCTGTTGGTTGTGTGGATTTTGTCAAAGGTATCACTATGTATACCACAGGATTTCTCAATTCAGGTTCTTTCAAGTTACCCATACAGCTGTTGATTGTGAAATTTTATCACAGCATTATTATTATCAAAAACAGACATTACAAGGAGATTAGAGTCTCATTACGACATGAAGCCCTGTATTGATGGGCTTGGGAAAAGCTGTCTATAGCATGAAGCCAGCAATTTTATAGTTTGGATATCTCTGGTTATGGTTGTAGGTAATTTGATGACCAACCCCACCCTGCCCAAACCAATACTGAAAATTAAATACAGGGACGCTCACATATGAGGTCAGAACTACATCTTGGAGCTACAACCCTAGTTTGACTTGGTAAACTCTCTGTGTGATCTCTTTGCATCTCATTATCTG